CTTCATCTGAGGTATAATTTCTTTCCTGTGTTTGACAGTAGAAGTTAAAGATGTTAAAACAAATAAAGATGGTGCTATCTGGTGTACCTCAACCTCTTTCTCTTGCATGAGAGCCCCTTGAAAATTCTTCTAAGCCATTCATGAAATCAAGGTTGACTGGGGAAATTGAATTCATACACTATAACTGGTATCTCTGTCCCTCCACAATCCCTAAGGCGATACTAGAAGTAAGGTGTTTTAATACCTAAGATAATATTTCCAAATTAGTGTGGCAAAGCTAATGGTACATTGTGATCATGGCACATGGTGGTTTTTGTCCCGGTGAATGACAGATGACTGAATATCAGCAAGCAGAATTGAGTAAATTTGATGCTGGTGATAAAACATGGTTGTACTAACAATAGCTGTGTCATCCTTTGTGGGGAGTAGGGTGGAAGCTCTGGGTAATTGTTGAAAAAGAAAAAAAGGCTCAGACACATTCAGATGGGTTTGGTGAGTTAGGTTTTGATCAAATAAGCCCTGTAAAATAATATCAAAACTAAGCTTGTGTTTAAGGTAACAAGATGCATAGGCATCTTTTTTTAAAAAGAAAGGCAATAACTTAAGCCAATCCAGGGAAGTGGATAACACAGCTCCTACTGAAAAAATTTAGGGCTGTTAAGGAACTAATGGTCCCATGCAAGGGTTATCATTAGAAGTACCAGAAGACCTTGCAGAATTTATACATTTATTACTGTTTTCTGCCAACAAAATTTCAAAAGCAATGCTTAAACCAATGTTGGCAGTAGATTTCACAATTAATCAATACTGTTAAGGTTAGGCCTATATGATTCCTAACTAGTGATCAGTTCCTCACATCTTTGAGTAACTGAGCAAATACATGCTAAAAGCTGTGTTTAAAATTCTACCCAAGAACAAACATGTGATGTATGAAAAAAATCCTTTGTTATATTGATAATACAGATTCAAATATAGCTTCATATCATAAGTATTTCAAGGTACAACCAGGGAGAGCATGCACTGAAAAGACGGTAGAAGGTTTTTTGAGGAAAACATTCAAATTTCTTCCACAGGTTTCCCCAAAGTTAAGTGCATCCAAAACATAATTCATCTTTTTCTGAACAGAATTGAAGTTTTCTGTGGAAACTATTTTGGGAAAATAACCTTTCACATTTTTTAGTTACATGAAGAATTGCATGAGGCACCCAGCATGTTCAGTTTGGTCAGCAATTCAATTAGGCACTTGGCAATTGACTTGTGTTTTATCCTCCACATGGCTCTGTTTTGAAAAGAATGATCTCATTTTCTAATCATTCTCTTATCTCATCTTCAATGTCAATTAGTCAGAAAAAAAAATCTTAAATATGATGCAAATATGCAAAACTGCCTCCTCCTCTGATTTTTAGTTATCTCTCTGCTTTTGTGTAATTGCAAGTTAAAAATAAATTTGAAATAGGAAGGCAGAACCAAAGATGCCCACTTTTATCACCAGCTCAACTGAACAGTTGTTTTTATTTTAAATATTAACAAGCATACAGCATGGTTATCCTCCAGAGACCCAAGCACAGCAAAAAGGTTGATGTATCTCTTTCATAGAAATGCTATGGAACAGATTTGTTTAGGGCAGTGGCCTGAAGCAATAGAATGACCCCATCTCTGAAGATGCAAATTCTGATCCTGATTGTCTCACGAACTGGCCTGGGATTTTTAGACAGGTAATGTGTCAGTCAATTTTCTTACTAAGATAAATGTTAAAAAAAAATCAGGATTTCTAAGATGTTCCCTGATATTCCCAATTATTGGCATACCTAAGATTAGGGGCTCGATTTAGTTCAAAGAAATATTGGACTTTCCCCCCAAGTGTATCAGTGTTGTCATTAGGTTCACATCTAGGACTTTATTATTTTCCCATCATAGAGGTGCCAGCTCCCCTTTCTTTTGGGGCCAAGTCTAGGACAATTTTTTCTTACTTCCCTTCCAGACAGTTACTTAACTCATTCTTTCCCCCTTTCATTATGTTTCCTTCGCTTTATTTCTAGTTTGACATCTTTAGAACCCTTTTTTAACATACTCCATCCCTGTAAATGCTGCTAAATTTAAGGTAGTATTTTATGTTAAAGAACCTTTTTCAGCACTCTATTCTGCTTTATTCATTTCAACTCCCCTTATTTAGTGCTGCATTAGAGTATTTTCAATGATTAAATGTATTCTGGGTCACTGTAGTGTGTTGCAATCAGCCTCTTTTATTTTGCCTTTCTTGTTTCTTTTTTAACACCCACATAAGTCTGTGACCATTTTTTTAAGTATAATTTTAAAAGCACAGAATGAATTGAAACAATGTCCACATCTAGGACTGAACAAGCATTTGACTTCCTCACTTAAAAGAAAATTTTCCACAGACTCAGATTGGTAAACAGCATTATGCAGTAATCTAGCTCAAAACTCTGCCATCAAGGAGTATTAAATCACTACTATTTCAAACTGGAAGGTACATGCATGTAGTCTGGAGAGATTTCACCAAGGTGATAGCCATGTGTTTACAAGGCTTTCTACCCATAGGAACTCAAGTCATTTTTTTTTTCGATGAAGAAGTAATAAATAAAAGACCAGATTCACACTGATTTTAACCTACTTGTGGGCCAAAATAGCTGGTTATCATCAAACACAATCATTGTGAGTATCGTGTACTTCCCCAAGTACTTCCGGCTTCGTTTTCAGGCATGGGGAACTTACAGGCCGTTTTAGCCCAGGGCAGGAAACAAGCAATTCAAAAGGCCACCTGGTGCTGAAGAAGGACTTCAGTCCAATGATGGACTGTTTCCCTGAGTTAACTTTTGGTATCTCTAATATTGTGACTTTTTAAATCTTCCATTCAAATGTTACTGATTTTGAAAACTTAAACTACCATGGGGAAAATGCAGTCACCAAGTTCACTATCGTTTTCACAGTGTTTAATGGGTTTACCAGATAAAAACAACAGTTCCTCTTCAGTCTTCAAAATACTTTTCAAATTTCCACTTTTGATATGACTTCTTAGTGTCACAAGCAGCAACTTTCAGGGTCTTCTGAGAAAAATTTCCTTCCAGGCATAACAACTGATGATAGTTTCCAAAAACAATGTGATTCACCTGGAGAGAAAGGGGATCTGGCAATGAGCCACAGACTGATTTTGACAACTGAGTAACGAAACAGAAACCAATAAAAAAAAAAA